GCATCCAGCTGGCTGAGGGGAGGGCGCGGCCCGCAGAGCAGACACAGCTCCAAGTCCGGCAGGAGCGTCAGGGTCAGAAGCCGGTGCGGCACCTGAGGCAGCCCGCAGAGTGGGCTGGCCGGAGCTCCTCCCCTTCTCATCGCAAGCCCCGCCTCCTCGAGACAGCCTCCAGGTCCCACCCCTTGCGCGCTCCTCCCCGACCCCACCTTCCCACTGCCCACCCCATCCACTCACTCACCGTGGGACTCCCGTGAGGCAGGTACACCGGATAGTCGCGAGCGGCCTGCGGCGGCAGGGATCCCACCAGCCAGGGGAGCAGCACGGCTTCCGGCATCCCCAGCCGCCACCAGCTCTCTGTCGCTGCCACCACCCGGCCCGACACGACCAGGCTGACGAAGGCCGTGCCCGCAGCCTCGGCGAACCCAGAGAGGGCTTCCTGGGTAAGGGAGGCAGGCCGGCTGCGGGTCAGGAGACCTGAGCAGGGCCGACAGTGACTTCCCAGGTGCGTAAGGAGTGGGAAGAGACGGCCATACAATTCAAAGCTTCCCTGGTGGCCATGCTCATGTGTCTCACCCTCCCTGGGCCTGAGTTCCTTCACCTTCACATGCAGGTACCATCCCAAGTCACAGTGTGAAATTAAACAGGTAGGGTGATTGCTACATAGCCTGACACGTCCTACTGAAGCTAATACTTGTAACAGCAGCAGCTACGGTTTATCGCTTTGTATTATATGCCAGGTAGGCACAATCTACAACCTACTGAAGCTCAGAGAGGTCAAGTCACCTGCCGAGAGTCACAATGCTGGGAGGCAAGTCATGCCAGATGAATCCAGAGCAATATTTAAGGAAGGGAAGATAGAGATCTCCTAGGTAGAAGGAACAGGATGTGCCAGGGCAGGGAAGCTGGGAAGCTGTGGGGATTTGTGAGACTCATGAGGCAGCTGGGAGAGGGTAGACTGTGGAGTTAGTAGAGATTAGGGCGAGCAGGCTGGCGGGCGTCAGATTCCTCAGGTCCTCAACACCAGGCTGAGGGGCTGAGACCTTGTCCTGGGGGTGATGGAAAGCCACGGGCGGGCTGTGACCAGGGGAGGGGCAGGGGCAGCTCTCGGTGTAGAAAGATCTTTCTGGGGTCAAGGCGGGGGTTGGACTAGAAGCCAAAAGGATAGGAAGAGGTTGAGGCAATGGTCCAAGCGTAAGAGGATGGGGACTGAGCCAGGGCCAGAGGGACAGTTTTAAGACTTTACAAGGCATTCCCAATACCTGCAGCAGGGACCCCTCTGGAGGAACCACACAATCCACACACTGGGTCAGGTCCCCGATGAGCTCTGAGTCCCCAAGGAAGCTGTCGATGAGGCGGTAACTGGCCTAGCAGAGGGAAAATGAAGCCTAGGACCCAGGTGGTACCCAGATCTGCTGCCTCCTCCTCAGAAAACTGGCCCTACTGGGCCTTGCTGAGGGGTGTCAGACAACCAAGCTGCCCCCTGAACCCACTGGGTCAGGCTGCCCCGGGGGCTTCTGGGAACTGTAGTTCCCAACTATCAGTAACCAGGTATCCTAACTTCCCATCCTCACATCCTGCAGCCTCACCCTCAGCTCCTTCTTCAGTCTCTCTACATTTCGGATATTGGTCAGCTCTTCAAGTCCCACAAGAAGAACCTAGAAGAACCATATAGGAGAGCAGGGGACCTGGATAACTGGTTATAAGACAGGAGGGGCTGGGACTCAGACTCCTGTGTCTGCAGGAGGAAACTGGGGATCTGGACTCCTTAGTCCGAGGCAGGAGGGACTGAGTTCTAGGATTCCTGGGTCCTGAGGGAGAGGGATGCTGAGAGTTCAGATTCCTGGGATTGGAAAAGAGGGTTGGGGAGTCTCACCATGGCCCCAAACACCATCTGGAGTAGTCTCTCCAGCCTCAGCTCCGAGGTGCCCTCCTCAGATGACAGAACAATGAGGGTGATGCTGTGAGAAAGGAAGGTGAGAAGGAAGAATGAGTCCAGGCCAAGGAAACAAGGCAGGGAAGAGAGTAGGGTCTGCCCTTGATCCTGGATGCCAGCTACATCCATGGCCGAGCACAACCTGCTTTTCACTCAGAGAAACTCAGGGATCAGAGAGGGTAACTGACTTGTCAAAGATCCCACAGCCAGGTAAACAGCTGGCGTTGGAGAGCTGGATGGCCTCAGGGTCGTCTTCAACAGGGGCTATCACCCTGGCCCTGCCCCCAAGCTACCCTTGGAGACCTGTCATGGAAGCTCTTCCACACCACGGTTGTGTCCTCCGTCTTCGCAGAGCTCAGCTGCACTTCGAGATTCTGCCCAAACATATGGACTCCATTGAGGGAGCCGATGACAGAGAATGGGAGCTGGGGAAAGATTGGGAACTTTAGACAGGAGCCCCCAAATCCCATCCTGTATTGGAACCAATGACTCAGGTCCCCAACCCCCTCCTCTCTCTAGATCTCCTGGCCCCTCCACTTCGGGGAACCAGGATCACTGGTCAATTGCACCCTCGACCCTCCAAACTCAATTCTGAAACTTCCCCAGCCCCTACGCCCTTGAAGACCCAGAGTCCAAGCATCTAAACCCCTTCTATTTCGGAGATCCAGGCGCCCGGGGCCCCACCTGTTGGCGGGCGGGGGCGCCGCCGCGGCTGCTCCTGCAAAACAGAGGGACCCCGCTGGATGCCGCGAGGCACAGCAGATGTACGGTGCCTTCGGTCCCCTCCTCCCCCATTTGGAACCCCCGCTTCCCAATCCCTTCGTGGGGACAGTCAATGCCCGCCTTGGAGCATGCCGGTAGTCACACTAAGTCAGGCTGCGGTCCGAAGCCGACAGAGGGCGAGATGGGGAGCTGACTGGAAGAGGACTGGATTCCCGCCTTCTTCATCCAACTCAAACCCCCATCAACTCCTATTCCAGCACCTCCCCCAAGCCCCGTTACGCTCTCTTCCGCCCCAGCCGGAAGTCACAATACCCTTAACAAAGATGGCGGCTAATTGTGTTTGCGAAGCTTCCTAGTCGCTCCTTGAAGCGGTTTAACTCTAATTAAGAGAATGAAGAGCCCGACTTGAAGGTAGGGACTGCGCCAAGGCGTTGCCTAGTAACCGTCACGTAAACTAATACGTTTCACATTCTAAATTGACAAAGAGCCGTGCCACACTCAAAGATGGCGACGGTGCCGAGGCGTTGCCTAGCAACCGCTTTGGCTTAGCTTTGCGTTTTGTAGTGGCAGCACTATGCCACACTCAACGATGGCGACAGTGCCTACGTGTTGCCTAGCAACCACATTCAGTCCTAGTTCTCTTCCAAGGCTAGAAACAGCTGTGCCCCTCTCAAAGATGGCCGCATGACGAACCCCGAGGACTTCCTTAGAGCAAAATCTCCCCCCTCACCCTCGAGGATGGTTTGGTCCGGCGAGCGTTGCCTAGTAACCCACAAATGGCATGGTTGTTTTTGCTGTTAGAAAAAGAAAGATGAAATCCTTTATTTTCCAGAATCGGAAAATAATATTATTTGTAATGAATTTATACATGATAGTGTATTGTGCAGAATGTGAAAATACTCCTCCCAAAATGCTTTCCCTAAAATAAAATCTTTACAGTTAACACAGAATATTCACGTTTTCACAAATATGATTAGTGTTAATGTTGTTTTCAAACTTCCTTTTTCTCATGAAACCGTATAAATGCACTTCGCCTTTTTTTTTTTTTTTTTTGCGGTACGCGGGCCTCTCACTGTTGTGGCCTCTCCCGTTGCGGAGCACAGGCTCCGGACGCGCAGGCTCAACGGCCATGGCTCACGGCCCAGCCGCTCCGCGGCATGTGGGATCTTCCCGGCCCGGAGCACGAACCCGTGGTCCCCTGCATCGGTAGGCGGACTCTCAACCACTGCGCCACCACGGAAGGCCCACTTCGTCTTTTTTGAATGTCCTATTCTAACCTATATTACAGATGTAACAAAATAGATTTAGCCTATCCTATTCTGACATGCGTTAGTTTTCACCTCTGTGTGTTTAAAGTGATGAAGTAAATCTTCATTAAGTTATCAATTTAGTCAGCTAGATCTTTTCTCTCTTTTTTTTAAAACATCTTTATTGGAGTATAATTGCTTTACAATGTTGTGTTAGTTTCTGCTGTATAACGAAGTGAATCAGCTACATGCATAGCTACATCCCCATATCCCCTCCCTCTTGCGCCTCCCTCCCACCCTCCTTATCCCACCCCTCTAGGTGGTCGCAAAGCACCGAGTTAATCTCCCGGTACTATGCAGCTGCTTCCCACTAGCTATTTTACATTTGGTAGTGTATATATGTCAATGTTACTCTGTCACTTCGTCCCAGCTTACCCTTCCCCCTCCCCACGACCTCAAATCCATTCTCTACGTCTGTGTCTTTATTCCTGTCCTGCCCCTAGGTTCAACAGAACCATTTAGATTCCATATGTATGTGTTAGCATACCGTATTTGTTTTTCTCTTTCTGACTTACTTCACTCTGTATGACAGTCCATCCACCTCACTACAAATAACTCAATTTCGTTTCTTTTTATGGCTGAGTAATATTCCATTGTATAAATGTGCCACATCTTCTTTATCCATTCGTCTGTCGATGGACATTTAGGTTCCTTATATGTTCTGTCTATTGTAAATAGTGCTGCAATGAACATTGTGGCACATGACTTCTTGAATTATGGTTTTCTAGATCTTTTCTCTTTTGTGAGAACAGTTGCCCTCATTTATCCAAATATATTTACAAAATATATAGCAATATTAAAAAACATTTGTTACTTTTATTTTTTATTTATTTTTAAATATTTATTTATTTATTTTTGGCTGTGTTGGGTCTTCGTTGCTGTGCGCAGGCTTTCTCTAGTTGCGGTGAGTGGGGGCTACTCCTCGTTGCAGTGCACGGGCTTCTCATTGTTGTGGCTTCTCTTGTTGTGGAACACGGGCTCTAGGCGCGCAGGCTTCAGTAGTTGTGGCACGTGGGCTCAGTAATTGTGGCTGGCAGGCTCTAGAGCTAAGGCTCAGTAGTTGTGGCGCACGGGCTTAGCTACTCCGTGGCATGTGGGATCTTCCCAGACCAGGAATGGAACCTGTGTCCGCTGCATTGGCAGGTAGATTCTTAACCACTGTGCCACCAGGGAGGCCCACATTTGTTTCTTTTAGACATGTTTTGTCTGCACTCTGGATTTGATTTCTAATCGTTGATAAGAAATATTAAGACATTTACCCTGCACATTAAATTACATTAGAGGAAAAGCTGCATAAAATAACAAATGAACTAAAATATCAATTTCTCCCTGTAGTTCTATGAATTTTTTCTTTAGTCCACTTATATTTATTTTCTACTGATATATTTATATTTATTTCTATTGTTTTATTTTTATATTTCTTGTTCTGCCTTTTCAACGCTTTTCCCCTCCATTCTTATCTTTTACTGGATTTTTTGTTTGTTTCCTCAGTTCATTATTTTCTCTTTCTTCTGGTTTCAAACTTATACACGAATTCTCTTTTATTTTTATTGGTTATCCCTGAAACTTTACCTTACACATTTAATTCAGCAAAAAGTTAAAGATCTTAAACCCTCTCTCAAATAATACAAAGAGAATATAACACCTTAACTCCGTTAAACTCCCTCCCAGACTAACCAACTAGTGTTGTCAGCATTTTAGTTTTACTTTTTTTATGCCCTCGTTGAATATATTTCTTATTTTATGCAGGCAATATTTATTTGTAATTATGTAAATGTTTATGATTCATGTTGCTCTCCCTCTTCTTTCTTGTCTCTCAGATAATCTTTCCAGGTTAATTTAAAATTTTCCTACTTCCTGTAGTTCTTCCTACAGATAAACTGTTTCTCCCCTCACCCCATTTAAGGAACCTGCTTGCTCCCCCTCACGGAGCAAACAAGGGCACCTCTTTCTTGTTTTCCCTCCCTCCTGCTGCAGCAAGAGTCCCAATAAAGGCTTGCCTGAATTTCTTGTCTGGCCTCTTATCAATTTTTTTTTTTTTTTTTTTTTTTTTTTTTTCCTTGCGTTATGCGGGCCTCTCACTGTTGTGGCCTCTCCCATTTGCGGAGCACAGGCTCCGGACGCGCAGGCTCAGCGGCCATGGCTCACGGGCCCAGCCGCTCCGCGGCATGTGGGATCTTCCCGAAACGGGGCACGAACCCGCGTCTCCTGCATCGGCAGGCGGACTCTCAAGCACTGCGCCACCAGGGAAGCCCTCTTATCAATTTTTATTGATTAAAGAGTCCAAGTCTAGAACCCGCGAGCCACAACTACTGAGCCCATGTGCTACAATTACTGAAGACCGCACGCCGAGAGCCTGTGCTCCACAAGAGAAGCCACTGCAATGAGAAGCCCGCTCACTGAAACGAAGAGTATAGCCCCTGCTTGCCGCAACTAGAGAAAGCCAGCGCACAGCAATGAAGAACCAATGCAGCTAAAAATAAAATAAAGTTTTAAAAATTATTAAAAAAAAGAGTCCAAGGACCCTGGTGGGTGACATGTGGAACCTCTGGCCAATAGCCTGTGAAGAACTGAACCCTGGTAACAATGACAAGTGCCTCGAGGTGATTACAGCCCTGACTGACACTTTGATTATAGTCTCTGAAGCAAGGAACACAGCTAAGCCATGCCAGGATTCCTGATCTACAGAAACTGCGAAGTAACAATGTTGATGTTTCAATCCACTAAATTTTGGGGTAATTTGTTACACAGCAGGAGACAACTTAATGTCCTATTATTTTGCATACTGTGGTTCATTATGAACCTGACAATTCCAGTACCTGGAGGTGGGGGACCTTCATCTGTTAACTGTTGTTTCTGTGGACTCTAATTTCAATCTTTGCCTCTGTGCTGGTGGTCTTTGTGATATTGATCAGAGTCCTCTAGGGAGGATTCACTTCTACTTCTGCAGGTTGTCAGGAGTGTTACTATCCTGGAACTAGATCAGCTGCCCTGGACGGCTCTTGCTTAGCTGGGGAACTACACTGAAGTTTTACAAATCACAGCTGGCTTCAGGCTCTTGGTAATGCCAGTGCAGTCCCATCTGGCGCAGGAAGTTCGATTCCAACTGCATCTTTTTTTAAATTTGTTTCCTCTGTGGGGGAGGGAAGATACTTGAAGACTACCCATACCTCGTATGAAACCACCAATGTCACAAAAACAATGTCATATCACCTAATGTATCATAATGCCAGAAGCTGAAGTCCAGGCTAAAATATCTCATTGTTTAACTTATCGTTTGTAATACATTAATGGAAATGGTTAAAAATCAGTTAATGGAGCCAATCACGCATTCAGCTTATCTAAAGAAAAGTTTCCTTATGGTTAGGAGGGAACTTTAGGTACCATTTTAATCTCCTTACCTATTTATCATTTTGCCTTTCTCCAACTTACTTTTATCTTCCTTATAATTTTTTCAAAATTTAATTACACTAGCATAAAAAAGAAGGGAGCTGCTTTAGATTAAAAGAAATTTAAGCCATGTAAATACGTGTTTGGTCATTGTTTGGATCTTGATACAAATAAAACAATTGTAAAAAGGCATTTTGAGAGAATTGGGAAAATTTGATTATGGATTTAAATGTTCAATGATACCAAGAAATAACACAATTTTGTTAGGGGTGTTAACGGCGTAGTGGTTATGTGCAAAAACTTCCATCTTTTTAGAGATGCCTGTCAAGAATGTAGAAGTAAAATATAAGGGATCGATAAAGTACATGTGACAAA